TTCATGGCTGTTCTTTAATTTTTATATCAGTTTATTATTTGTTATTATTATTATTGTTATTATTGTTATTATTGTTATTATTTGTGTTATGTTTTTGTTTTCCGCCTACGTCGTGGTTGGTGTGGTAGCCATCTTGGATTTACGGTATCGAGGTAAAGTTCTTTGGATATCAGTAGAATTTTTGAACGTAGATTTGCTGTGATACGGTAGTTCTTTTGTTATTCTTTGTTCTGATTGGTTGACGGTCTCCCCATGCTCAATTTATTTGGCTATTTTGTGTTCTGATTGGTGGACGGTATCTCCATGCTCACTTGTGTTCCGATTGGTTAACGGTCTCTCCATGCTCATTTTACATGACTATTCTGTATTCTGATTGGTTGAAGCACTCCTCACATCTGGTCTAATTTGTTTTCCGATCTCACGTACTTCGAAAGGTATAAAAAAGATCTGGTAATAACGGAATATTGAAATGCAGAACAGTTAATTGCAGTCCTAACCACGATATAAAAAAAGTGGTCTTTGTGATGGGCTGAATCTCTCCGCCAGAACTAATTAGGAAGAGTTATCACACAGAATAGGGGATGGCTATCGACATTACACACTCGTTTAATTGTTACTTTTGAAGACCTACGTTAAAAGAATATGAATTTCGATTTGACCTCATTGGTGATTGAAGTAGTTAAGAGACTTAGTATAATTTCCGCAGCCCGTTGAGCATATCCCTATGTCCACCCCATCCAAGCCTCTGATGTCCTCTTAATGTTGGTGTTTTGACTACGGAGATTAGGAAATATAAGCCCGTGTAATCTCATCGGGGCGTGTGTGTGTTATAGAGAAATCTGACTGCGAGAAAGATTTAGGAGTAATGATAAGTAGGAATTTTAAACCTAGTATAAACAATGTGTATTTGCTCGAAACAAGACTAATAAAGTACTTGGGTTCATTTTACAAAGGAGTGTTAGTTACAAGACTAGCGAGGTTATCCTAAAACTATATCTTGCGCTTGTGAGACCTCACTTGGATTACGCAGTTCAATTCAGGTCACCGTATTACAGAATGGATATAGAATCCTTGGAAAGAATTCAGAGAAGAATGACAAGACTAATCCCGGGTATTAGGAACCTTGAGTATAGAGACAGGTTAAAGCATCTTAATTTGCACTCCCTCGAGAGACGTAGAGTGAGGGGCGATATGATAGAGGTGTGAAATTGGAAGTCAGGGATAAACAAAGGTGATATAACAAAGGTACTCAAAGTATCCAACCAGGAGCGAACTCGTAACGATGGTTTTAAATTAGACAAATTTAGATTTAGGCGCGAAATAGGTAAACATTGGCTTGGAAATAGAGTAGTGTATGAGTGGAACAAGTTACCAAACATTATCATTAAATCGAATACTGTACGCTGGATAGCTTCAAGCAGAGGTTGGCTGGATATATGAGCAATAGGGTTTGGGTATACAGTATACTCTTCACGTTCTGCCAGCAAACAAAGACCAGCCCCACGCTTAGTTGTGTATGGTCATTGAGGTCCTGCACGGAAACGGGAAAAACCCACAAAAAAGGAAAACAAAGTGCAACGTCATGATTCAACTTATTGAACGTGGCTATGTTGATGATGAGTCAGTGATATATATATATAAACGAACTGTGCACCCACAAAATTATTCGGCACCCTTACGACGTGGTACATGACACGGGTGCCTGCACCATTTACCCACAACAAATAATAATAATAATAATAATAATAATAATAATAATAATAATAATAATAATAATAATAATAATAATAATCATAACCCCCACTAGATCTCAGATTGTAGTGTATAATGTACTCAAACCTAAACGGAATATGAATCAATACGTTTTCAAAAATAGTCAGTTATGATACTGTACTCTCCCAGAGAGAGAGAGAGAGAGAGAGAGAGAGATTGTTGATTGTTTACGCTGGCACGGAGGGCATTCTTATCTAAGATTGTGTAGTCACAGTCGCTTCAAGTCGTCACTCGGTAATTCCCTGAAACAGTTTTCCTTACTCGTCATCAGTTGTGAGAAGTGGCTGGTTTAGCCTCCTTCCCTCCCTTCTTCTCCCCCCCCCTCTCCCCTTCCTTTCTCCCTCCCTCCCTTCCTCTTCCCCTCCCTGCCTTCCTCTTTCCCCCTTCCATCCTCTTTCCCTCTTCCTTCCTCCCCCCGTATCAGGCGGTTTGTTATATACGGTATTGTGTTAAATATAATAAATTATTCTTTAAGCTCTTTTATATAATCTTTTTACAGTACAAACAAACATGTGTGTGTGTGTGTGTGCGTGCGTGCGTGCGTGCTCTAAAAAATGAGGTTACTAGTTAAAAATAGTTATCCTAGCTAAAAAGAACACCACCGGAACTTTATAATCATACCATTTTGACACCGAACATTCGTGGGCAGTATTATCTGTCAACACTGGTGCGTGGAAGTACTGTACGCTACTTAGTGAACCTCTCTAGTTATAATAAAGGTGTTGGGTGGAAAGGTCTTACACGCACGTCACACTGGCTTGTTGTGTTGCTATCGATGTGGACTGAAACACTAGGCTTCTTGCTCTGTTGGTCTCGTGGTGGGCTGGAAAACACACACACACATATATGGAACACCTGTGACAGTAACGTGATGTAGAACTGACATATACCTAGTGTGTGTGTGTGTGTGTGTGTGTGTGTGTGTCATATGATCACTAGTAGGAAGAATAACGCTAGAAAATAATACAATAGAAGGGAGAAGTACAGTGGAATCAGAAGAAGACAAAAAATAATGGAATGTCAACGAACAATAAATGTACAGATGAAGGAATATTTATGTCATGGTTTTCAGGAGAAGAATAAATTGTTCTGAAGGGAACGAAATATAGTAAACAAACCAAGACAAGTAATGGGAGTAAGAGTTAAAAAAAAAGAGGGAGTAAAAGGTGTGAATATTCTGAGCAAACTTATATACGTAGTAGCATGAGAGAGAGAGAGAGAGAGAGAGATTTTCCTGTTTGTGCCATGATGCAGTGAGTAACCTAGAGTCAGAACAAAAGAAAGATTGGTAAAGGAGGAAGAGTTGGTAAGCTCAAGAATGCTGTAAGGCACAAAGTAGATGAAGTCACTATTAAAAGGATAAGAAGGACAGCAGTTGATAGTGACGATAATGGGAACGATAACAAGAGAATGACAGAGAATGTATATAGTTGCTACAAGTGAATGTGGGCCCTTCGTGCCCGGTGAAAGTTTGAATGCTCTTGCTTGGCTAGAGCGCAACCGCTGTCCGGCAGACAGCGTACATCGAATGAGGGTGCGCCAAGTCCGTAGACTTGTGAGGGTGTGCTAAGTCCGTAGACTTGCATTGTTTACCAGCGTTAATAAAATGGTTAATTAATGCCTTCCTAAAGACACCATCGACATGGGACCAGGTTTGTTCCACTCTACAATTTTTTTGCGATTTTTCCACCAAGTTTGATGAAAAACGATTGTGCCATTTCGGCTGCCCAGAACAGACACACAGACAGACAGACGGACACACGGCTATCCCAATAGTATATTAGATGTTTAAAAGGAAAACGTAACAAAAATAGTGTAAAAAAAAAGTTAAATAGGAACTTTCTTCTTGATTATACCAGCGAAAGTGTATGATACAAGTTATAATTGAGATACTTATAACAAAATAAGTGTATATTGGATTAGAGAAAAAACAGTAAATGGCAGAGTAAATAGGAAAGCAATGAAAAAAAATACGTGTGAGGGAAATGGTAAGTTGTTGAGTGTTGTCAGGACGTTTTTGGCGGGAGAGTGAGAAGAGATGAGTGAAACAGTTCATTATGGAAATTAGGATGAAGATATGTCGCTAACCAGAGTTGCTTACCATATTCTTGGATGGTTGGGTAAGTATGCTAGAGATGCGAAGACAAAGGAGTAATGTTGAGAGGTTTAAGATTGGTGAATAAATAAGAAAAAGTCAAGTATTTATTTACAGCCTTAGGTAAAATAAAGTGATTAATATTCGTTTTATGGCTGCGGCAAAATTTTCTTATTTGGTTAATTAGTTTCGACTGATTTGGTAGTTGAAATTATGAGAATAGTTTTTTTATCTCAACAAAATGGAGCCATAGCCATTAAACGAATATTTACTCCAAAATTTCCTTCTGAATATACTAGCATTCATCCACGGTCTGGTGTTCGATTTAGCTTCGTAACAATGGAGGAACAGTACATACTAGGCTGGCCTTCGCTTGCATCCTGTCGCTCTACTAGGAAACACCTTCCTCCCCAACGAATTCTGAGAAAAAATTGCCAGGATGACATACTCTATCAAGACCTGACATTTAGTCGCGAAAACATTTTAGGAGAGTTTTTTATTTTAGACGGAATTTTCGGGAATTTGTTGTTTATACAGTATTTAAATTGTTTTAAATCCGGAATTTAAGAACGAGACATACTTTTATTACGATTTTATGTTTTGACCACCGACTCTTGGTAACTGCAGTGAGGGTTCTAAGTAGTATAGTGATCATTTATATTATACTTTAACAGGATCATACCGGTTGCCTGAAAGCAACCATTCTTAGTACAGTTCCAGTGTCTGAAGGATGACGCTTGCTTCTTTAATTCCTCTCTGTATCGATTTCGACAACCAAAGTTTATAGATTCGTTTATTTTCATACAAAATAAGATATATGTTATTAACAAGATATTGATATCGTTGGTAAATAAATAATGATTCAAATATGCCGGTATGTTCATTCTTTTACCTAAGGATTCTAAATGTATTTCCGGTTATATATGAATTCCATAGTTTATTATTAAATCCTCTGGTTAAGGGTTAGTTAGACGTAGGGTTAGTTGTTTAACATAAATTAGTACTCGCTGTTTTCGGTTGGTCGATCGCTGGACCTGGGTGGGCTGCAGTGTGGAATTGCCCGACATCACGGGTCGATATACTTTATATATTATTCAGGTACTTTTTGTACAATTTATAGTGTTTATATCCTAGTGGTAATCAACGAAGAAGGAATCAAAAAATATTATGTGTCATCAGTCTGCTTATACAGTAGTTGTATATTGGTCGTCTGTCGAGGACTGGGTAATGATGCTTAAGGTACACCTATATTGTACAGTGCAGTATACGTGTAGTGTAAGAACGTAACAGGCGCAGGGTATATAGGTGATCTTTTTTAATTATCCATTAGTTATTAAGGCCGAATTTAATATTTAGGAGTGTCACTATTGTTTTTGAGCTCAAGTTTCACAGTTGTCTGCCGCCCGCGGTTTGCACTATATCTTGCTCATTCGACACTGTCTGTAGTGGAAGGAAACTTGTACTTAAAGATGATAAAGAACACATTAATTAAGGCGAGGTGAGGGTAGGTTCAGTATGTTATGTTAACGTAACATGATACTCGTATTACTAAACCATGCCTGGTCATGCTGAACACATATCCAGTACGGTATTCTGGCAGCTTGTAAACAAGCAACAGTTAAGGCCAGAACATACTTTACGTACGGTTTGGTAGTAGTAGTTATGTTCCTGTTCTGGTTGTATCTGATTATGTAAATATATAATCAGGTAGCAGAATTTTACTTACTGACTCTAATTTGGTAGTACATACACAACCCTAAAATTTTACCCTCAAAATTATACAAAAAACGCTGAATAATTTAGTGTTACATATTACAAAATTTGGGGGCAAGAGTGAGGGAGGTTGTGGCGAGGGCGAGAACTGCTGACTCCAGCATTACCGTCTAGACGAGTGGTAGTTATGGCCAATATGTGGAATGATGCGTGGAGCCGCCCACCTGCCGCCATGGCCCTAGAGACAAGCGTGTGGGCGGAGGGGCAGCGCGCAGCCACCTGATGAATGATTGTGAAGCGGGAGGGGGAGCCGTGTCGTGCCCCGCCGATATTCATAAGGGAAGCTATGAATGAGTGGGTAAGGAGGGAAGTTGTTTGGTGGCCACCATTCATAAAGTGAGGCGTGAATGTTTTACAGTAGTGAGGGATGGTGAAGGATGGAGTCATTCACAGCGTGTGAATGTGAATGATTCAGTTGTGTGGGAAGGATGTTGAGGGCTGGGGCCATACATGTTGCTAGTGGGGCATGAATGTCGAGTGGGGGGGGGGGTGTATGTGGGACGGGGCATCACTCATGACGGTGTTATAAATGAGTGTCATGGCACACCTTCATCGCTTAGTAATAGATTCATGAACATAACGCCACATTTGTATATTCGTGATGATGATACACAATTATTGGGCCAGGATAATTTGAGCGATATTTTAGTATAATTATAGTGTAAGCAGGGCAAATCCTTAACCTTCATTATCCGTGAAGATGATACTATTTTTAAAGTCGCAATATATAATGCCTTCTGACACATTACTTCTCTAGACTTGATACTTGTGTTCACTCTTGAGTGCCGAGTATAATAAAGTTGCGTAAAATCCTTGTCAGGTTAAATGAGTCACCCCCTGTCAACCATCAGTGTCCCCCTCACTTGACCTTGAGCGCGAGTCACACACACACACACACACACACCGGGGGATCGGTGGAAGAAGCGGTACCGTTCTTGCCTCGCAAGCGAGATGTCACGGGTTCGATTCCCGGGCCGGTGGAAGTTGTTTGGATATACTTCCTAGCCCCCATTAGTCCCTGTTCACCTAGCAGTAAAGTAGGCACCTGGTGTAAGTCGAAAGTTGCGAATTCGTATTCAGGGACAAGTTGTTGGAGCTTCCAATAACTTGATGACATAAACCACTGACTCTTCAGGCTTCTACGCCCTTAACTCATGAGACATAAAGGCAAGCATGAACTTAGCATGCTTCCCTGTTGGGCACTGTAAACGCTTCTGCACTTCACCTTACACAAGGAAGTAGGGAGGTGCCCAATAAAAAAAAAAAAAAAAGTCTCTCTCTCGAGGATCACTTAGGCCAAACTGCCAAAACATTACCTCTTTCGACTAGCAAATCTGCCCTGGGAAAATAAAATGGGTGATAAATGGTAACCTGCAGGTGCTAATCATCACACACCAACCAGGCAATATCATTTTATATGGTTTTAGAGTAGATGACTGGAAGGGAATATTAGCAGACAGTGAAGTGAGGATACTTTGCCAGCAGGGGGCACGAACGTAATACTGTACTGTACAATATTTCAATTTTGAGACTGGAACATAGCTTCTTTTACTGGGTGGTAAGTAACAGTATATACATATAACGATAGACACACACATTACAAAACTAGGGCTCGGATACTCGGGATTTTGACGACACTGCCTATCCTGGTGATATGTGTGGATGCTGACTTTTTTCTCCACTTGATTCTTTACCAACAAAGATAGCTAACCATACGTAGAAACCAAACATTGTTCGCATTACCAGGAACCTTGCATCAAAGGTCAGACGTCAAATGCCACTTTTTGCCCTCTGGCCCCCTGTGCTTGGAGGGTTATTTTCATAAACTAATTTTCTGTTTATCTGTTAGTCTCTCTGTCTTATTTTTTCTCTGTTTGATTCCTCCATGAGATAAGTAACCAAGATAACCATAAATATCCAGTAGTAGCCTCATAGACCATGCTCTCATATATATGCTGTTTGAAGGCGAAATATATTGGGATGCCTTGTAATTTGCACTTTTCCATAACCGAGAGGTTTCATTGGCCTGCGCATACCCATTTTTAATAACTAAGCACTTGTACCTTGTTTCTTGTAAGAGCCTTGAGTCCATGGCAGTTGAATGTAGGCACTTGCCTCCTTATCCGATGCAGCTGGCCATTGTTAGGAATTCCCCCAGTCAATCTAGCATCAGAATGACTACCTAGCGCCATGTGAGGCAGTAGAGTGCAGTGCCACCTATATTGTCTGTATCCATGTGTGCCACAGACTTTATCTTCAGTGTTCTGTATTCACACTGTTCCTTCTAGGCCATCAGACTTCTGGGATCCACTTCCATACTCATTTGTAATCTGTATACAAATATACCTGTATTCACGATGCTGCAAGCTATTTGTGTGGTAAGATATTCATACTGGGATTTATGTTACAGATTGAGGCAGAGGCCATGGTGATGACCAGCTGTTGCCCCTGCATTTCCACTGCTGCTGCTGCTGCTGCCGCCACCGCTGCTGCTGCTGTTGCTACTGCTGCCATGGTCAGTCTCGTGCATTACCACCACATAATCCATTATATCCTAATTATATGCACACCTGCAGCTCCACCACTACACCCAAGTCTAGTATACACCTACAGCTTTACTACACCCAAGTCTAGTGTACACCTGCACCTTTACTACACCCAAGTCTAGTGTACACCTACAGCTTTACTACACCCAAGTCTAGTGTACACCTGCAGCCTCACCCCTACACCCAAGTCTTGTGTACACCTACAGCTTCACCACTACACCCAAGGCTTGTGTACACTTACACCTTGACTGCCACTAAAATATTCATGTGGTGTTAATCTCTCTTGGTAGATAACAATGTATGTTTTTGCTCTTTCTCATTGATAATGTATCCTAGTTCCTCTATTTCATAGGAAAATTAGTTTGAATTGTATTAACATCTGTATTGTCATCATCAGGAACACTATTTGGCTTTAAAACAGCGAGTAAGCATTAACGACACTGAATCCAATTGGGATAACGTCACTAGTGGAGTACCCCAAGGCTCAGTACTTGGACCATTACTATTTATTTTATACATAAGTGACAGATATGGGCTTAGACAGCAACATAAGTAATTTTGCTGATGCCACTAAAATAGGGCATGTAATTAAATCTGACCAGGACTCCACAAAACTATAGGAAGATCAAAACAAATTTTTTGCATGGTCTGAAAAATAGCAGATGAAATTTGATGTGGACAAATGTAAAGTGCTTAGTCTAGGAAATGCAAACAGAGAAACCAGATATCAGATGAACAACGTTGTTAAAGAGAAAACCAACTTCACAGTTGGTTTTCTCTTTAACAACGTTAAAGGAATCTTAAACCAAGTAAACAATGTGTATTTGCTCGAAACAAGACTAACAAAGTACTTAGGTTCATACAAAGGAGTGTTAGTTACAAGACTAGCGAGGTCATCCTAAAACTATATCATGCGCTTGTGAGACCTCACTTGGATTACACAGTTCATTTCTGTTCACCGTACTACAGAATGGATATAGAATCCCTCGAAAGAATTCAGAGGAGAATGACAAGACTAATCCTGGGCATTTGGAACTTTGAGTACAGAGACAGGTTAAAGCATCTGAATTTGCGCTCCCTCAAGAGACGTATGCTGAGGGGCGATATGATTCAGGTGTATAAATGTAAGTCAGGGCTAAACAAAGGTGATATAACAAAGGTACTCAAACTATCCAACCAGGATGGAACTCGTAGCAATGGTTTTAAATTAGACAAATTTAGACTTAGGCACGAGATAGGTAAACATTGGTTGTAAATAGAGAAATGGATGAGTGGAACAAGTTACCAAACATCATCATTAACTCGAATATGCTGGATAGCTTCAAACGTAAGTTGGATGGATATATGAGCGATAGGGGTTAGGTGTAAATGGGACTACCCAGTATGGGCCAATAGACCTGCTGCAGTTTTCTCCATTCTTATGTTCTTATGGATTACATGAAGATTTAGACACATCAGTTTATTTCACCTGATGATTAGACTAACTTAAACTAGCCTCTCCTCCTCAGGCAGTGTTAGGGTGTTGAATCATCAGGTGGAATCAGTTGGGTTGTCTAGCTATCAGGTGATCACTTTTTGTTTTACTTCCTGATGTTGAAACACTTCCTCCATTACAGATGAATTTTAGCCTGCTCGAAAATACCATGGAGCCGTAAGATGAGAGAGATGCCGAGGATTGTGTCTTCTGCATGCGTCTCATGGGTGTGATCACGTGCACGTCCCCCATGAACCCTACAGGCAATGTCACCTATACACACAAAAAGTTCAAACGGGCCCAAATTGAGGCCTGTGACACTGTGGAAAAACAGCAGCTGCATCAAGAAGAGACTGGAAAGAATGGGAAGACCGAAACTTTGGCAATTCCTACAAAAGCCTCGATAGTATCAATAGAAGGAACTCCCTCTCCTATCAATGGAATTTTGTCCTCTCAAACACCAAATCACATTTCTGGACATACTGGTCATTTTCCTCTGGAATCTGATGATGGTAAGAAAAAGAATAGTGGTAACAATGGTGGGAAGTACAAATGTAAGTATTGTGGAGTGGGATGTGCCAAGCCCTCAGTGTTGGATAAACACATCCGCACACACACCAATGAGCGGCCTTATAGCTGCGACCAATGTTGTGTAGCCTTTAAAACCAAAAGCAACTACTTGAAGCACACTAGATCCCGAGCTCATGCCCTTAGATGTGATGGTGGGTTACAAGAAGGCAGTGATGGAACAATAGAATCTAGTGACAACCTCGATGTTGATGGAGATGAAGGCTCTAGATGCCCCAGTCGAGAAGATGGCCAACAGTGCCAACCTGCTGACTTTACTGTGGCTCATATGTCTGCTAGGGATCAACAGGTTGATTATACAAGCACATCAGAGGCCACAAGGTTATATCATGAAGAGTCTGGGAAAGATCGAGGAAATTTTATATACAAACCTAAATTTCGTGTCCGTGCTCAGTATTCCCTTCAGGAAGAAAGTATATCTAAGGGACTCTCACCGCCCATCCAAAGACAGCAGTCAACCCCACCTCAGGATGTCACTACATTTGACAGTAATACCATCAACTCATCAACATATCAGATCCATGCTGCCTCCAATCCCAACCATCCCAGTCAAGGTGCTCACTCCAGTCCCAGTTCTCATTCCCCAGGCCCTGCCAATGCCTCCAAGCAGTGCTTTCCTCCAATTGAAATTCGGGCTGGAAATAGAAAAGATGAAGGAACAATGTCTGGTCAGCGTAACTCTGTAGTAATCTCTCAGACTACAAGCCCACTTTGGAAAGGTATGAAGTCTCCAAGTCCAGAGTTAGTAGGACAACATATCACTAAACTGATTGTTGAAAACCAAGCCATTGTGGAGACCCACAATCCACTGTGGTCACGACGTTACCGGCGTCAATCCAGTCTTGGCTCTTCATCAAGTGAGAGTGATGGGTCAGGCAGTGGTAAAAGTCGGAGATATAGTCTTGCAGATACAGGCATAAAAAATTCTAAACCTACTACTACTGGTCCCCCTCCTGCAGGTTCAGGTCCTACACAGCCCCTTCCTCGAGAACGAAGGCATTCCATCAATGCTGAGGCTATAATGGTTGAACCACAGTCTTCGTACAGCCCCAGTCTTCCACCCAACCCACACCTGCCTCTTGCTCAGCCCACAGTCACCCCCATCAGTGCTTCCAAACCTTCCATATCATCACAAGGACTTACTACCTCTTATTCTCAGCCTGCACCTGCCTTCACTGCCTCTCATGTGACTATGGTGGACTTCAGTTTGACAGATGGAGCACGCAAGAGGTGCATCTCTGAGGGCCCCAGTGTTGTGCGAGACTTGTCCAAAAGTCGAGTAATGCCACATGATGATCCAGCTCTTCTGCGTCAGCATCCACAAAATCCGGAGGGCTCTGTTATAAAAAACCTTCTTTTAACTGCTCGTGCTGGTATTACTGGTGCCATTGATTTAAACCTAGAGAGACAAGAGCGTGCAAGGATTGCCAATCAAGTCGTTTCCCATGGGGAAATTGGACCATACACATGTTTGCGATGCAGAATCCCTTGTCGAAGTCCTGAGGAATTAGAAATTCATATCCGACATTACTGTGGACAGAGACCAGGAAGTGAAAGAGGTACCCCAGATTCTACTAAAAGTGGTGATGGGGGAAGATGGCCTGGAGAGCAAGATGTAGCTTTAGATCTACAAAAAAAGCCTGAGTACATGGACCAACATGACCGTGAGCGTTCATCATCAAGAGGATCATCAACTGGGGAAACTATACATAGGCGAGGCTCAGAGGAAGATTCAAGATATCATTTAGATATGTCACCAAAGGTATATAGAAGTAAATCAGCTCCAGATGGGTCTTTACCGCCTACAAAGAAAAGAAAAATGTCTGACATTGAGATCACGTCACACGATAGATCAATGTTTCTTTCACCAAATTTTTCTTCTAAGGGGCAAGGAGGAATGAAGTCTGAATCTGGGCTAAAGATTATGGATGATATGAACAAACAAAATAAACTCAATAACCACCAACTGTTTGGTGGTGAGGTTCAAATCTGTGATGGTAATGAGTTGAAAACCATGAGAATAGACCCCAGCCAGCAATCAAGCCCAGGTTTAGATATCTGCATTCCACCACAACAGTTGGGAGGCAGAGTATCAAAGCCAGAAGTGTCTGCCCCAACTTCAGTGGTGATGACCATTGCCAAGTCTGGCCTCAACTCTGGGGGAACAATGGTCCAGGTAGAAAACCAAATCAGCACATCTTCTACCAAAACTGTTCCAAGCGTAGTGAGCTCATCAATGAATCGTGAACAGTCTGTTCTTTTACAAAATGTACCAAAGGCAGCTCATCCCCCAAATATGTACAATGAAGCTAACCAGTTTGCATTTTCTCCTTCATTTCTACAGTATGCACCTCACCTTCAGCTTCCCAACTTGGCCATCCCTGGGATTCCTACTCCAGACTTAGGGGGTTTATCATTTTCAACTTATCCTCCTCGCATCCCTGGTCAAACATTTCTTCATGGACAGACTTCCCTTATGCAGGGGATTTTAGGAAATCACAAACAAAACACTGTTAGATCCCCAGTAGTTTCATCTAGGGTCTCCCCTGGTGGCTTTGCAGTGAGTGCAGCAGGAGGTTCGTCAGGTTCATCCAGTGTTATGCATGGAGGTTCAAATGATATTCGTATAGGAGACAGCACTGGAGCACCAAAAAACCTTTTAGTTAAAGACAAGGAGAAAGAGCACCAGAAAACTCCCAGTAAGTTACCCCCTGCTGGCTATCCTGCTCTTATACCTGTTGGAGATGAAAAGGTGCCATATGTCCCTGGGATCCCAGGACCTTATTCACAAGGCAGTGTGTTGCAGTCTCACCCTCCTACTGCTCAGAGAAGTCCCATGACGGCTTTCACTCCTGTTACATCATCTATAACCTCAAGTGCACCTCTCACATCAATTCCATCACTTCCAGCATTAATGAGTACTGCTAGGGAGAAAAACCTCACAATACCAAAATACAGAGAGGCAACCAGAGAACCTCCAAGAAGTCCCGTGAGGGAGCACAGTCAGTCCTTAAATGTGGTAAAACTCCCTCATCGTTTATCACCAAGAATGTCTTCAGTCATCGGTAAAGTTCCTGAACGAACAGTTAATCCAGAAATAAGAATTCATCCGGCGAAACCGGAGTCAGTAAGTCAAGAAAAGAAAACCTCTGAAAAGTTTTTGGTTCCGGTTGAAGAATCAAACTATGAAAACTGTTCCAAGGAGGAATCTTCTGACTCAGAAGACTTCCTTCCACCACGGAAACGGCCAGATTTCCTGGCCCTGAAGCCTCAACAATTTATGCCCAAATCTTCTCTTGCCTTGATTGGTACAACTTTAGTTAGCCCTGATACTCCACGACCCAAAAAAAGTTGTGTACAGATGCTGTTAAATGGGTCAGCTTATACTTATTTAGGGCACAAAGTTTCTACAAAGTCTTATTTTTGTTGTATCTACAGACAGCAGCCCATGTATGTACCCCAATCAACTGATCCTAAGCTATCTATGTATTCTAACTGGCAGATTAGAAAACCAGCGGAAGACAATCCTTTCAAGTTAACACCGTATCAGGGAATGGGATTATATGAATCGCGGAAGTATGATCGTGCATATACTATTGCAAAACCCAAAGAATTAAATTTAATTCAAACTCATTCATCATATTGGACGTTTAAGGAAGAAAAAGAAAAGAATAAGGAAAAGGAAGACATTGTGAAGGATGAAGAGAAAATGGATATTAAAAGCGAAGAGTCGTGTACAAAAGTGTCTGAACAAAGTGTCTCAGAAGGAAGTGGATCAATAAAACGAGAGTCTGAGGACGATAGTCGAGACTCTTATAAGACGAATGATGAGGCAGGGAGATCAGATAGTGGCTCAGTCAAGCGTGTAAAAATTTTTGAAGGAGGTTTCAAGAGCAGTGAAGACTACACATATGTCAGGGGTCGTGGCCGAGGGAACTACGTGTGTGAAACTTGTGGAATTCGCTGTAAGAAACCATCTATGTTAAAGAAGCACATCCGTACACACACAGATCTCCGCCCATATGCTTGTGGTCACTGTACTTTCAGGTAAGTGTGATATCGGTTACTAATACCTGTAGCAATACAGTAATCAGTATGGTTACTATGCAAAGATTCAATTTGATTTTTGTGTAAATTGGTTTTCTTTGTAGACCAGAGACTATGATACTGTACTATTCAGTACAGTATATGAAATTGCTATTGATGCATCTACTATTGTGAAATAAGAACAGTGTAATATAACCACACATAACCTGTCCTACTTATTACACAGTCATAACAGTAAGTTAGATCCAGTAACATCAGTGTACTGAAATAAGTCAGAAACTCTATATTGTATATATACTGTACTATTAGTATGAATACTGTACATAACATAGTACAGTACTGTATATAAAGCATCACCTAAAGCAGGGGTGTAAGTGCCAATCTGATGTTTTGAGGTACTGTATCGGCAATTTTCTAGAGTTTGTAGCCCTGTGAGGACTAGGAAATTATTTTCAAGCCTAGCTATCACAGGCTTCGAGCAAGCTAGGGGTGTAAGATGTATGCTTATTGATGGAAAATTTATATAGAATTTGGGAATACCCTTATCTTAAATTCACACATTTAACTCTTGTGCTCCTACTTTAGGTGGCGCCTCATATCAATCAATAAATCAGAGTACCGTCCTCGTATCTGAGGATTGGCGACCACAGTCCCCCACTAAACGTTACAGAGATGTGAATAAGAACAAATTCAGTTAAAGCATGTTATAATGATCATTTATTGCTCAAAAAGATGTTTGATTCTATATACAGTATACAATTAAATTACTATCAAAGTGGTACTGTATGCCATTAACTTATTTTATTACATGTTGTTACTGAGATATGGTTTAATATCTATTCTATTTTTTTCCTTTAGAACCTCAGAATTCTGGAAATTAGTTATCCAAAAGTTTTGAAAACGTGGTCCCAAGTGCTGCCTCATTAGGTGTTAGTTTATACTGCACACTGCTCTTTTCCCTTTGATGTGGCCAATAGCACTTATTTTCTTGTTTTTCCATTTGAGAAGTTGTCTCTTATGTTGGCTTTTCTGACTGTCAAAAGTACAAAACTTTAGAAAATCTTCAAAAAATTTGTATGAATATACTATACTACAGTACATACTTCATACTCTAAAGTTTCAAATACCAGTGGGAAGCTAAAAACACTTGCAAGACAATTTTAGGTGTTAGATTAGCCATTAGATTAGTGATGTCACTTGCCACTTATTTGTGCAAGAATATGTGATTTGATTATTGGAATGAGGGTTAACTCAGGAAGTGCAAATGATGGGAAATTAGAGATAAACAGGGGAAAATACCAACACAAAATAGTCAATAAAAATTAGAAAATGTAGGGGATTGATATGAATGATGCCTGAGAGACATTATAACTAGATTTGTATGGGTTACCAGCTGCTACCGAGAATGTGGCATCAAAAAGTAATTGTTGATGTACTTTTGACTCAGTTGATAATGTACTGTGCTGTGCTGTACTTCTCATGTTTCTGTACTTTACATTAATTACACGTTTATTACAGTTTCAAGACGAAGGGAAACCTGACAAAACACCTAAGATCAAAGGCTCATTACAAGCGGTGTGTGGAGATGGGCATTGATCCCGTCCCTACTGTGGTTGATGAAAGTCACGTCAATGAAGAAGCTCTCGCTTTGCAGGTATATTTGCATGGCTTTGCTCTATATACCTATGAGCCGAGGTATTATATCCAGAATTATCAGCTGAGCATCGTCCTGAGCGAAATTTCAGAGGATTTGGCAACAGTAATATTCATTGACCTGTCCATGTACATTTTAGGTTATGCTCGGTAACATTTACAGACTGATTTCAGTTTGCTGTGAAAGTGTATTATGACAATTTCATTGCTTGGAATTTCTGGGTATGATTGTATCCCAAGTAATTTTATCGTAGGGTAGATTGTGCCCAGTCCACAGGGTTATGTTGCAACAGTATTGTACTGTACCTTATCTTAAATTGTAAACCTGTTTTTGTATGTTGAAAAGAGGGTTAAGTTCCATTGTCCCAAAGTATTACCCTAAAATTCATTTGAATACTCGGTACAGTACAGGACTGCATATTTATTTTCACACGATACAATTAAGTGCCATAGCCTTTCCAAAGGGGTCTGATTAGCTCATGGGTTGACTGGGTCCCAATTTAATGACACATGAAGATAAAGAGTTCATTCTTCATTTTCCATTGAAATGAGTTTCAGTAGACATGAGGCACAGGGGAACTAGGACCATTTTCCAGTGATAATAGGTATTGGATATGTTGCCAAATCGACCTTAAGCCCTAATAGGCTCCAAAGTTAATAGTATATTAACAGTAAAGCTCAATCTTCATTTTCCATTAGAATTAGGTCTATTAGGGAACAAATTAGGAATATTAGATACCAAGACTATGCGGTAGATGCATCGGGTTGACCTATGGGTTCCATGTGTATTAACTGAGTCTATCTTGAGTGTAAGTCACATTGTTAGGGTGTTTCATCATGTGTGCCTCCCATAACCCATCATAGAGTAAATAATAAATTCCAAGTGAGTTTTAAAACTTTTCATGTCCTGTTTTAATTTGTGACAATAATCTTATCCATTTGGGGATGTGAATATAAATATTGAATGTGGATACAATTCATTTATATTTATAATTTTTGTTTCTTTAGGGGAAGATGGAACAAGAAGACAGACTTGACAACATTGATTGTGATGATGATGATGATGAAGATGACGATGATGATGATGATGATGATGATGAAGAGGATGATGATGACCCAATGGGTGAAAACCAAGTTGAAGATGCACTTAGTATACAAAACCAGCATAGGGATAGTGGTTATCAGGAAAGAGAAAACAAAAAGGTTGAAGTAACAGAGGAATTGAAAGATTGCCACCCTGAGCCTGTTGCTGCAGTATCACGGTCTGGTGTATTAGTCATGCAACCAACGAGTCGTAACTGTTCTGGTAGTCCAAAGGAAGTTACGGTTCAGAAAGTTACCAATAATGTAGAGTCATCACGAGATTCACCCATGGATTTAAGTGTTAAGAAAACAATGGCTGTAAATTTTATCACTGTAATAGACAAAACTTCCACACCAAAAAAATCAATTCCCAGAAGACCAAGTTTTTTACCACTAATGAGCACTGGGAGTAAGCCATCTATTACAGACCTCAGATCTCCAGTTGGCAGTTTGGCATCTCCTGGCACTCAATCAACACCCATCAGGGAACACCCTTCAGAAATTTTGTCACCGGTGACAGAATCGTCAACCCTTCTTAAGACAATTTATAATACAACTGAGAGAGCCTCGCATGTTTCCTTTGAGAAGCAAAGTATTGTTCCTGACCCAACAAAGGAAAATGGTTGCAGTAGTTCAATGTTGCAAGCATACCTAAAAGAGCGTGCTATGTTAGACACTACAATAAAGAGACAACAGTATAAAGACTCGTCCTCAGATACTTCACCAGATTCTCCACATAGTAGTTTAGCATCTGCATCTATTTCATCAGGATCAAGTGCAGTAGAGAGTGTTGAAACATTAAGCAAGCCAGAAAGTACAAGTGATGGTGAAAAATCAGAAAAAGAAAGTAAAAAAGAAGGAAAACAAGAAGATGCTTCTGGTGGCATTAGTGATGAACAGAGTCCTCTTTCAATGCCATCTTCTTCAGGCAGTTGCAGCACCATCACCTCCAGTGCCCTTCAGTCTACCACTTCACGAATGCCAACACCACCCGCTAACCTGACTGTAATGAACAGTGGCGGCATGGACACCAAAACTTCCTTCCTTGTGCCCAGTGGAGTTGTTCCCTCTTCTCTCAACAGGTGAACTTGGATTATGTTAGTTTAACTCTTATTATTCACTGCTTTGGCTCTATCTAAAATGTTATTCTTCTTGTCCTTTTGTATTGTAACCATTTATCATTTTTTTCCAATCATTTATATTACAAGGTATAGTTTGTATGCGTGTGTGTGTGTGTATAGTTGTGCATGGATGTGTGGTGCTTATGTGCAGTTTGTTATAGGAAATAAAAATAATTATTATTATGTGCTTGTGAAAGAAAGATTTTAAAATATAAACTTTTCTTATATAATCCCTCTGGTAATCATTGCTGTAAAGATGGACAGTACAGTCATCTTGGTTAGTCATTTTGATTTTTTATAAATGGTAAGTGCAAGTTAAGGATGTGGTCATGTACATACTGGTTTTTAGATATCAATGACTCATTGCTAGGATTATAAACATTATTTGAGCTTTGTGATAATATTCAGCTGGAAACATTAATAATGAAGCGTTAAGGAAAATAACATTATGATTTTGCTACTGAATAAAGAATTGAACAGTTTGATAATTGCTGGACATTAAGTGTTTCCAATTAAATTGATGTAACACATATGATGAGGTACTCAGAAGAGCAATTGAATGTGAATTAAGAAGAAAGACTGAAGACTGTACTGTTTGAGACTGTGGTCTGTAACTGGAAAAATGGTACAATAATGGATTTTTTTTCTATTTCTAACCTTTTCCTCTTATTGTACAGTGGCCAGAAAGAAGTACATAGGCATGCATACACAGACAAATAGACATATTTTTTTCCTTCCATTTATTGTCATTCATTCTTACTAATGAAAAAAAATTATTCAGTTATGATATTTCTTTCCATAATTTGATCTCCAAATCTGATATGTCCTTGTTTCACATGTAATAAATACCTATGGAAGACTTTGTGCTAAAATATCTAGAATAGTGAATATAGAAACAAGATTTATGAATTAAAACAGGTACTGTATAGTGAGTGTAGGGGTGTCTCCTCCCTCAGGTAATATTTAATTGTAATATCTGTACTGTATTAGGTCTTTGGGGCTTGAGGATTAGATTTAAAATGTAATGGGGTTTGAAAATTGATCAGCCATTGAAAGGAAGGATGAGTTTTGGGAGTTCAGATACATTACTGAGAGAGAAATAAGGTAGAACAAGTCAAGGAGCCAGGGGGAGAGTGAGGCAAATTGCAGTCATTGTAAGGTGTTGGCCACACTTCAGGTGGAAGGGATGTGAAATTGGGATGAAAATTTGTATAGGGTATTATTGTATTGATATTAACCTGTAGCAAACCTTGGTGACTCAACAGGCTGGGGAATGATGATGGCAAGTGTAAATGCAGCATATGCCACAAAGAGTTCAATCGGCAGGCGCAGCTGAGCCTCCACATGAACATCCACTACATGGAAAGGCCATATCGGTGTGACTCTTGTGCAGTATCATTCAGAACTAATGGTCACCTCCAGAAGCATAAACGATCTGTTAGTCATTTTAATAAGGTAAGGTAGTGCACTCAATTCTATATAATATAGTGTGCTAAGGTTTCCTGAGGACAGTCTGATTCATTTTAGAGAAATTAGGAGTGACAAATTAATGGACACATTAATTAGTAAGGCAATATGAAAAAATTAACTGAATTACTTTGAGTTTGTCATATCTGGTAAGACACCTCATTTTTCTCTCTATCCATATTATGCCCTTCTTGTAATTGCCACAAAATTTAACCAAATCAGATATTGCTATTAACAAAACAGAGTAATTATATTGAAAAAGGTGCCTGATAACATTGCTGCATCTCAAAATTTTAAGCCAATTTGCATTAACAAATTAGTATAACAGCAAAGTAAAACTAACAGCTGTACTGTATGTTTGATAAAGAGCCTCAGACAGAGAGAGAACTGACTTATTACAACAGTCTCTCTCTCTCTCTCTCTCTCTCTCTCCTCTCTCTCTCTCTCTCTCTCTCTCTCTCTCTCTCTCTCTCTCTCTCTCTCTCTCTCTCTCTCTCTCTCTCTCTCTCTCTCTCTCTCTCTCTCTCTCTCTCTCTCTCTCTCTCTCTCTCTCTCTCTCTCTCTCTCTCTCTCTCTCTCTCTCTCTCTCTCTCTCTCTCTCTCTCTCTCTCTCTCTCTCTCTCTCTCTCTCTCTCTCTCTCTCTCTCTCTCTCTCTCTCTCTCTCTCTCTCTCTCTCTCTCTCTCTCTCTCTCTCTCTCTCTCTCTCTCTCTCTCTCTCTCTCTCTCTCTCTCTCTCTCTCTCTCTCTCTCTCTCTCTCTCTCTCTCTCTCTCTCTCTCTCTCTCTCTCTCTCTCTCTCTCTCTCTCTCTCTCTCTCTCTCTCTCTCTCTCTCTCTCTCTCTCTCTCTCTCTCTCTCTCTCTCTCTCTCTCTCTCTCTCTCTCTCTCTCTCTCTCTCTCTCTCTCTCTCTCTCTCTCTCTCTCTCTCTCTCTCTCTCTCTCTCTCTCTCTCTCTCTCTCTCTCTCTCTCTCTCTCTCTCTCTCTCTCTCTCTCTCTCTCTCTCTCTCTCTCTCTCTCTCTCTCTCTCTCTCTCTCTCTCTCTCTCTCTCTCTCTCTCTCTCTCTCTCTCTCTCTCTCTCTCTCTCTCTCTCTCTCTCTCTCTCTCTCTCTCTCTCTCTCTCTCTCTCTCTCTCTCTCTCTCTCTCTCTCTCTCTCTCTCTCTCTCTCTCTCTCTCTCTCTCTCTCTCTCTCTCTCTCTCTCTCTCTCTCTCTCTCTCTCTCTCTCTCTCTCTCTCTCTCTCTCTCTCTCTCTCTCTCTCTCTCTCTCTCTCTCTCTCTCTCTCTCTCTCTCTCTCTCTCTCTCTCTCTCTCTCTCTCTCTCTCTCTCTCTCTCTCTCTCTCTCTCTCTCTCCAGATACCATACATCTGTAAATTACTGAATTGTACTGAAACTTCTTGGGTACTTTGTGTGGGAGGTGTAATATGGCTAAGACAGTCAATAGATTAAGTTCTGGAGTGGGTGAAGAGAGGTGGTCTCAGATATTTTTACTATATTAGAAGGATGATGGAGGGTAAGATAACATGATGTGTAGAGGTGATAGCAGATGTGTTGGGTTGAGAGAGAAAACGTGTATCATGGTAAGAAAGGGTGGAGCAAAAATTAAGGAGAGAATGAGGGACTAGGAGAAGAGAAGGCAGAGATGTATCATGGTAGGGCAGTGTAGAGGTCCTTTTGTTGTGGTCACCCCATTTGAGGAAGCTTACCAGGGCAGTGAGGGGGCAGAGGTAAGATGAGAACAGCAGATGTATGGTAAATAAAAAAAAAAGTTATGAATATACAATATTTTGAGGAAAATTATTATTCTTAGGATTTATTTGTATATTTATCCCATAATCTTGTCTGTAATTGAAATCTATAGCTTGGTTAATGGCTCCCCAAGAGTGTATGGCAAAGTCAAAGTAGAAGACTACACTACAGATTTTTTTTTTTTTATACTGTACTGTATTATTTTACAGGTGAACATGAATATGACTTTTGGAACACCAAGTACAGACAATCCACGCCCCTTTAAGTGTCATGATTGCAAAATTGCTTTCCGAATTCATGGCCATCTAGCAAAACATCTGCGTTCAAAGATGCATATAATGAAGCTAGAGTGCCTTGGAAAACTTCCCTTCGGTACTTATGCTGAAATTGAACGATCTGGTGCTAATCTAAATGAAATTGATACCACAGATTGTGATAACTCCTTGGAAAGCTTGCAGGTGAGTGTCTGCAAGATTTATATAAAAGTCATTCATAGATTGATACCATTGGTAGCATTACAAAGGAGAATATGATTTTCAGAAAAGAGTTTCCTTCTCATATTTGACAGTCTTAAGCACCTTACCCATAATAATGTTACAAAGTAATCTGTCTTTCTTTTTAAAAATTAAAAGAATGATACCTGTACTATTGATTTTCTTTTTCAATCTTACATGACTGCTAATAACACTGCGATTTCTATAAACCAATGTGAACAAGTATGAGTAGATATTTCTACTTGTTTATCTAGCCCTTTCTTATCACTTTGTGCACTCTATATCGCTCTGTTTTGTCTCCCTCTTGTAGGTTTTTGCATCTTTGATCCACCCCACACAGAAGAGGGAGAGGAATAAAGATATTAATACTCTATAATTAGATAGATCTTTTATATAAGAAAACATGCCATTTGCTGTTGTCTTCTGTTGTATCTTTATATTAAATATTTAAGCCATAATCCGACAATTTTTTTCATGGGCTTCATAAAGGCCATGGCATCACGCTTGTATGAAAAGGATCCAAGTAAATTATCAGCCTGGCAGAATCAACAGGAGGGGCATCATCACCGAGTGCGCACCGTCAGCAATTCATCAACAAACTCCGATGACTACCCATTACAAGATGAGCAAGATGATGCTCTCGCTGGGTGTGTCAATGATGATGATATAGGTAAACTTTACTTTTAATTTAGATTAACTGTAGATTAGCTTACAGTTGGTCATGATAACTTTACTGTCAGAGAAGTGAAGCTATTACCTTTTTCTTACATGTTAAGCCAATATTTCTCTGTGTGGACATCTTCACTAGGAGGTGATCCATACATTCTCAAGCCTACCATAATCCTTAAAAATAAAAATAAATTCCCTCTACCTTTTTCTTATATATGGCTATTTTTATTGTCTCAACATATTACGACAGTGTTCAGTGTGATTTTGTCTGGGTGTTGTAAAGTCTGGGTATTTCCTCTATTTCTTTCTTAATATCTTTGTCTCCTAAGAACTTATTTACTTCTTTGTCCTAGACATCTCTCCTCATCATGCATCACTAACTCCTGTATATCTTCATCTCTTACCAGTGTTTTATTAATCCCTTTTTTAATATTCTCATGAGTTTTACTGGATTTGCTCATACTAGCTACTGTACCCAATAATTTATTTTTCATTGTCTGCAGATAAACCAAACATATTTATTACAGTCCCTCTTCTTTTGGCATATCATGTTCTTAATATCTTCAGTCTACCTTACTGTTTCTTTCTTTCTATATCAAATCTTCTTAAATCCATGTACAGTATAGTACATCTTTTTTTTCCTTTACTGTAACATCCTTCATGTGCCCCCATACTACTTCTGTGTTATTTGATTCAGTGTTTGGACTCATCACTTTCTCACTTAGATCCTTTTGAAAATTTTTTTTTATTCTGTCTGATTTTTAATGTTTGTTTCTTTCTGCCAGACCATTTTCACTTAACTTTATTTTTCACATTACTAACATTTGATCAGATGGTCCTTCACTCAAACCTTTCATGGATCTTACTGAGCACATGCACTCTGCTGATCACTCATTGCTCACCAGGAATACATCTACTGTATTTTGTTTCTCTGTTGTGTCTCCCTTGTTATTATATTAAGTATTTGTGTACAGTACTTGATTGTCTTCAAATTCCGTTACTGTATGTGTTTACTACCTATGATATCGGCTCCCATGTCATAGAGTTGCCAGAATATCTGTCATTGAGTTAGCAGTTGTCATTCGCATTTCTTTTTATCAGGTACAGTCATTCATTTGTTTTGACAGAAGGGGATGAAGATGAAGACATACCAGTGCCTCGGGATGCTGGGAGACTTGGGTTTTCTGGAGCTGTGGTTGGAACAGGACATCGTGAACTGCACAGTCCACACTCGCACACGCTTTCATCTCCAATTGAAATTGGCTCAGTGAGTATATATATTGCAGTGATATGAAACTCATGACAGTGTGTTTTGCTTTGAGAGTGCAGATGATAATTAACCTTTACTCCATTTTGTGTTATAACTCATTGCTGCATGATATTATAGCATAGTATGTACCAGTTATGCATTATAAATTATTTAAGCCAGAGGTAACTTCACAATATGTACTTTATATTTGATAATTAAGAAAAAGATAGAGCGGCTATTGTTTTTCATATTTTGACTTATATAAATCTTTATAGTATTGTAATGTTATTGGATTTCACCACTGGATTTTTTTATACCCAAGTAAAGCAGAATAAGAGGCTGTTGGAGGGTAGCAGGTCATGATAGGCCCTAAACTAATTGCACTCAAACTATAAGGATTGGAGTCTGGGCCTTATATTCTAATGGCAAGGTTAGGTTAAGCTGGGGCCTATTGGGACTGGGGTACATTTGACCAATCACAGTGGTGGACACAAACTAGGAATTTGTAGCGAGTGAAGGAAATCAAGTGATGAAAGAAAGAGAGCAAACTATCATCCTAAAACTGTATCTTGCTCTTGTGAGACCACACCTGGATTACGCAGTTCAGTTCTGGTCACCGTATTACAGAATGGATATAGAATCCTTGGAAAGAATTCAGAGGAGAATGACAAGACTAATCCCGGGCATTAGGAACCTTGAGTATAGAGACAGGTTAAAGCATCTTAATTTGCACTCCCTCGAGAGACGTAGAGCGAGGGGCGACCTGATAGAGGTGTACAAGTGGAAGGCAGGGCTAAACAAAGGGGACATTACAAAGGTACTCAAACTATCCAACCAGTAGCGAACTCGTAACAATGGTTTTAAATTAGACAAATTTAGATTTAGGCGGGAAATAGGTAAACACTGGTTTGGAAACAGAGTAGTGGATGAATGAAACAAGTTACCAAATATCATCATTAACTCGAATACGCTGAATAGCTTCAAACATGGGTTGGATGCTTATATGAGCAATAGGGGCTGGGTGTAAACGGGACTGCCCAGTATGGGCCAATAGGCCCGCTGCAGTTTCCTCCATTCTTATGTTCTTATATGAGTTATTTAGTCTGGTAAGGTTTTGGCACTAAGGGAAATAACTGGATATGTGCAGAAAGGAGACTAATAAGTAATCATGGTATATTTAAGGGTGATTACATAGCTTATTAATAGTTTTATATAAGAAAACTAACAGTTTGTGATTTAAACTACAGTGTAAGGAGTGTGTCAAGTAATTGTGATTATACAAAGGAAAGGCATTTTGATGCAGATCTTTTTCAATATATTTTGGGGTATTTAAATGTGTGTATTATGCAAGTTATTTTGGGCATGATTGGATGGACAAGTGAATATGCAGGTTGTAGGTCAAATGAACTCTAATTCTAATAGGTCTCAAATTTATCAAATCAGACCTAACCAATTGGCTCAAAACTGATTCCCAATCCGGTTGGTTAGATCATGCTGGGGCCTGTAAGGTTTGGTGTCAATTTAACCAGCCACACAATTGTGCAGAGGTGTGGAAATGGTTTTTAGTCACATGAAAATAACTGATCTGTGAGACAAGAAAACATTATTCTTTTCCCATTATTATATTTCTTCTCAGGCTGTGTTGAAACCACTGTCTCATTTAGTGATACGCCACACAGACTAAGCAGTGTGTCTTTTGGTGCTCTTTTACTCCTCTATTTTTTCTGATATCTTACTGTATTTGTCTTTTCCCTTAGCAGCCATAAGTTCCAGTGCGTATAAGATTTAGGACCTTGTGACTGTTTCACTTATTCAATAACAGGATCTATTAGAATTTTCCTCTTCAAATGTATTGAGTATTAGATCATTACATAAATATGTAGAGATAATCAGTGACTTGATATTTTGAAAAGACATAACATTTGGGAGTGTTTGCAGTAAGATGGGATGTTTTATATAATAAAGCAATGTAATCAGGATTTTGAGGTTTGTTGGTTAAGTGGATTCAGCTTGTCTCCTGTTGTAAGGGGTGTTGGTTTGATCATGGAGCTCGCCCAGTCCTTCAAGCTGTAAATGGATGTTGTATCTAACTTTACAGTTGGAGAAGTGAAGGTGGTCGAGTGCAGTGCTGGCCACACTGGCTCCTCAGGTACCAAAGGCTTAATACTGTACAGTATATGGTGTGCTGTGCTTTTTCATATTGTCCATATCTGGCCATCAGGTCTATGGGACCCATTTTCACCTGAGATTTTAAGTTATCTACCATTGTGCCTTTATACTGTATAATTTATTTATATACTGTACAGGTATTTATTAATATTAAAATTGTGTCATTATTTTATGGTAAATCACAGAACAAGCCTCTTGTTCTAGTTCATCACTAATGTAATGTAATGTTTATGGTGTATCAAAACTTATCAGAAATTCTAAGTGATGTAAATTATTGTAAAAATGAAAGAATAACTTAGAGGAAGTAAATTTCCTTAACATCAAATTTGAAGCTATTGATTTTTTTTATTAAATAAAAAATGAATGAAGTGAATCTATGAAAACTTTATTCAAGATTCATTCGATATGAATGATCCTTAAAGTTCAGAGAAGGAATAAATCTGCAATATAAGGTTGTGGGTTGGTACTACTTTTAGTTGTCAAGAGTGATGCTGTCATGCTGGTCATTACCAAATACATTGTGGAACTTATACAATAAATAGTCTGAAACCTGACGATCTTCTTTATCTCTGATCCAATTTCTTACTTATTACCTGTGGATTAATTCACCCTTTGTTATTATTAAAAAGAAAATACTAATACAGAACACTACTTCCATTATCTTACTAAAAACTGGTGAAAGTTATCTAGAAGAGTATTGGACAAGCTAAATAGCCTGAATGTTGTCTCCCCTTCTTAATGTTTGTGGTGATAAACTTCCTTACTTGTTTGTGTGAACCCATAGCATCCCATCCCTTCCACCAGGGTGCAACTGCAGGCCTCCTGGCATGCCACCTATGTCATGAGAAGTTCCTTGATCTAGAGCACCTTAGTGGTCACCTGTACAGCGTACACAAGGTGTCTGTCACTTACCGGTACGTAACTGATAACTACTGTACAGTATTAATCTGCATCCAACAACCCCCACCTCTTTTTATTTCATTAGACCCTTTTGAGCAGCTGCTCCCATACTCTTCCCTCCTACTTATCTCTCCTGAGTCTTGATTCACTTTTTCCTTCATCTTGCTTAACCCCTAGGCCCCGGATGACGTTCCAGAACGTCCGACTAGCGCGTCCTGGGTGACGTTCCAGAATGTCCGCATATTTTCCCTCCATTTTTATTTATTTTTTCATTTTTTTATTTTTTTTTATTAATTTTGGAAATGTTGATTTTTTTCTTGATTTAACCCCGCGTGGGGGGTACTGCCAGCAGCACCCTAACCCGGGGCTTAAGGGTTAAAGTTTTGTATTTTTCATACCCACTCCCTCCTCCATGGCCATGCCACTGGTAGCACACGACATTTTATTGTACAGTATCTGGAAGTATCTGGTGTATTATGATATGACATATGTATGTTTATACTGTCCATATATTTGTCAGTAGCTATATTGCCATGTATTTTATTCTATTCTGTAATGAAACTTTCCTTTAAAAATTGTATGAATGACTATAAACTGCTTACTAGGTTTGAACCTGATACTGTTGAAGCCTTGTAGGGTAGTTATGACCATTTGAATTTCCCTGAAACTATGATTTTTTCCCCTTTTGTAAATTCTAGTTTCTTGAAGCCAACATTTGTAGAATTCTTTTTGAGTATAGGGGGTCCTCTACTTAAGAACGCCCGCTGATACGAACAGGGTTAAACATGAAATTTACAGTATTTTATTTACCTGACGACTTATTTTTTATTTTCATATACTGTATTATGTCAGCCTGTTTCTTCTTTTGTCTTAAATTAAGTGATTTTAGATGTATATAAAGACTTAGGCTATGATATAGTGGGATTTTAAACATTGTTCTGTAAGTACGGTATGCACATAGCATGTGTTCAGACTATGTACAAATCCGACTTAAGAACGTCCTCGGGAACGGAACCCATTTGTAACCCGGGGACTCCCTGTATTACAAATTATATTAGATCCCGGATAATTCAGCATGCTAGTGAATCTGGCTTTGCTGAAATTCTGAATTAGCCCAAATATTTGCACCTATTTTGGCACGATGCTTCCTCTGACTAGATGTTCTTTGCTTCCATCACCCTCTTCCTCTTTGCTGTTCTTTTTTGTGGGTCATCTTGCTTGAGAAGCTGCAAGGTGAGAGTACAGCACTGTACTTATTATGAGGCCAAGTGATTTTACATCCCATGGGCTGCCTTGATTTAAATTACCTCCATTATATACAGAAGGGCTGGGCTAATGCCACATTTGTGGTGTCACAATATGTGTTCGTGTAAACAAATGTAGCCTTTTATTATTGTAACTGTTGAGTAATAGAGGAGGAGACTGTTAGCAGTAGAATTTACTGATGGAATTCTTTTGTATTTTCCATAGGTGTTGTTTGGATGATGACAAGTAATAAAAACGATACGGCAACTTTGTCCTTTAATTTTGATATACAGTATATTTTTTTTCTATCATCAAGTCTAAATCACCTCTCATCGTGGGTTTTATTACCATAAATATTGGCTTGGTTTTCTTTTGTATTCAATTTGTAGGCTTCACTTTCCTGGGTTTTTTTTTTATGTCCTGTGCAAATTCCTTTTTTTTTTGCACATACAGTACAGTATGGTTTTTTTAACCCATTTTATATATAGAGGATGAGATTCATATAGTTGGATTTGAGTCCCATATTATAGGTTTAGATACATTTACAATTTCTTTTGAGTATCATTGGATTCTAAGTGATCTGTACAGTATGTTCCTATACTTATTGTTCTTCCCTGAGGGAAGAGACAAGCTAGCCATCTTGTAGTTATGGCGTCCTGTGCGGATTGTTCTTTGTCATATCGCAAGTTATCTGTGCTTTTGGAGGATGAAGAACATCTCCAAGAGTTCATCTGTCAACATGGATTAGTTGGCAGGACATGCAAGTGTTCAAAATGTGGCAGAGAATTGACAGTGAAGAAGATATATGTGTGTCTGTGCAACAACTGAACATACTCTTACATCCACAAAAGATGAAAATTACTTAATGCTGCTTTAAGAGAAGTGCTTACATTTTCAAAGTAAATTCTTTCTGCTTAATATGCCTGGGGGGGAGGGGGTCTGCATCCCCTGGTTAGGAAATTAGGTAGGTTTGGTTGGTTAGGTCAAGTTCGGTGAATTGTCATTTCCATTTTCTTGTTCAGTATCATGCAAATATCATCTCCAGAAATGTTGGTGCAATTCCAAAAGTATTTTCTACTGCTGACTGACTCCTCCACCGGAATTTTTTTGTACTGTATTGCAATGCATTATATAGCTCCTTGTTTCATGGGACTATGGTCCAGACAGTGGTAATGGTGAACCTTGAATGTATTATTTTGGGGTAAATGAACTTAAGAAGTTGAACTTGCATCTCAGCTTTCACTATTCTCTTGGTTGATTTTTCTGCTATTTTTTTTTACTTCTGTGTAGCTTTCTATAACTTAATTATTTTTGTGCTTCTTGTTTTCTTTTATTCTTGTAGAAGAGCACACACGTATTTTATAATGTTTCAGTGATATTTGTTAGAATAATCTTATGCACTTTTGAGTAATTAGAAAACTGTCATTGGTTGAATAAGATTTTAGATTGGGTAAGAAAACACAGTACAGTATTAATTCTCTGTAGTAGTTAGTATAAAAAAAATTTCTTCAGTTCTATGGGGTTTTCTTTTTCCTTAATAGTTTTGATCTTACTCAGTGACAATATCTGAATTGTCTTCTCTTCAACATCTGTTACTTGTCTGCTAATTATGTCTGTATCACCGATATCTGTCATTTCCTGTTTGAAAACTGGACTTCCTGCTTTTTGCTGGGATTGTACAGTATATATTTTTCTTGCACAAGAGGTTGTCAAGTGTATTTTGTAGTCAGTTGGATGCTTGTAAACATTTCTTGATATGCATATTGTAGCTTTTGAAGTGAGTTTACTGTTACAGTACATGAAAATTAAATATGAATACACAGTACTGTACCAAATTATGGTTACAGTTTGCAGTACAGTACTTGTTATGGCTTACATCATTTGTCCCTGTTTCCAGTCAGTAACAGGTGTTTTGGCTTTAGGTTTTATATGTTTTGGAGTATAACTTGTTAAAAGTCAGGCAAAGCTCACTTTTGGATGTGTGTTGCATAGTGCTATAGACTTCTCCCTTCATTGAAACTTGCCTTAAATTAAATATTGTCTCTACATCACACACTACTTGTGGAATTGTTTTATTTAGTGTGATAATTGCACTTGTTAATTTATGGATTAGTGAGATTCCCTTTTCACACTCTTTGCAAGGAAGTAGACTGTAGAACATTTACATTTCCTCTGATATGCTTATACATCATTAAAGTACTGTATATGCAACATTGTACGATACCAGAAAAAAAAATAACAGTTTATAAATTGAATCACTAACTTTTATGTATTTGGATTTTTCAGCAACAGCTAACCAAGCCCATGATGCAGCCATATACATGTGGACTATGTGAGGCCAAGTTTTCAAGCCACAGTCAACTGATAAGCCACAGCCAACACCACCTCCCACCCTCTGGCATGATGAGTCTCAAATCCTCTTGACCCACTTCACCAGAATGTAGCTTTCATCTCCGTTCAAGAATTGACTACCAAGGTTTTAGATAAAAGATGACGAGGTCGTGTGTGAGGTTATCACGAGGCAGTGGAGGATCTACGGATTGTGGACGCTTCACGTTTGTACTCATTTGATTAGGTGCTACTCTTCATAAATCCACAGGAGGAATTTCTGAAAATCACAGCTTACAGATCCATGACTCCCTAATGACCAAAGGTTACATCATAAACAGCCCAGAGCCTGAGGTAACAGATCTGCTACTTATTATTAGCCGAAAAATGAAATGGGAATTAAGATGTTACAGATCTTCATCCCATCATTGCTAGAGAAAATTGACATGTGATTTTTCATGACATTATGACAATATAATCCACATTCTTAACCTTGATGAGCTGATTACAAATCTGTGACCGATCAGGGTTTGAATAGTTGGAGCTCAGTAAGAAGTAAGCACATGAGGACATGATAAAACACATGAAAATTCAAAGTTGCACATCATCCTTTATAACTGATTTTAAATAAGTATTGTGTTAGAAACCTGATACTGGTGATGCCGTTATGTACATAAATATGTGATTAATCTGGTGATAAAATATATTGCCTTGGGATTTCAAAAGCAAATTTCATGTTAAGTACAGCACTTCAAGATAATAGAAATGCAACTCCTGTTGAAATGGTGGAAATTGATATGGTTATGCACTTTTTTGTTTTTTTAAGTAATGGACAGAGGGTGTTGGTGAAGTATAGACTAGCTCAAAAATCCCATTACAAATAAATGACATAACAGATAAAACAGTAATGGTTTTCATTTACATTGTGTACAGTCTGTGACCTTTGTTTGTTTTGTTTGTTTATATCTGAGTGTAGATGTGCATGTTTGTTCAAAAGCCTACCACAGTTTAACAAAAACTTGAAACTAGGCATGTGATATTGTTTCATGTGGCTTTATAGCCATGGACTAAATGCTCTTTCAAGGAGATTTCTGAATTGATATTAAAACCACTCAATAATGAGAAGTGGTGGACAGATGTTAATCTGGCAAGTTTTGTGATGCTCAAGTGTGTGACACATTTCTCAAGAGTTTAGCCATGCCTTATGGCTCTATATCTGGTTTTGTGGGTTTTAATTGTACTTCCAGTCTATATAGCTCATGCAGCTACTAATAAATTTGTGAAGGGTTGAAGATATTGTATGTATTTTTATTGTACATGTTTGTATTGAAGGATTTGTATAGACACTGTGCCAATATCACTCACTTTTTTTATTTGAAGGGGGGGTGGAAATGTTTCTATTCTGTAGCCCATAGTCAGTCATCTGCCATGCTGTTACTGCATGGGAGCTTGTTAATTGTAGATAGATTTAACATTACTTCCAACCAGATTTCTGTTGGTAAGCTATGATAACTGCCAATGGACTTGCTGAGTTGTTCCATCTTTACATGGGTCTGTATTTCTAGCCGTGTACTGTTGAGTGTACAGTATATGGGTTTTCTTGTTTGGCAGGTTTATTATAGGCCGTGTTTGTCATATTTTCATTAAGGTATGTCTACAATTTTCATGTGTCCTAAAGTTACTGTTATGCAGATGATTTTGGTAAAGCTTAGAAGTATAAGTGAAGAATTGTAATTGTATACTACACAGCTCTGAAGTACAGACCAGATAGTCACTTCCTAACATGTCTTCATTGTGGTAGAGCCTACCAGCAATTTTTTTTATACAGAATATTGACAAAAGTGACAGTTACTGGCTAGAAGACTCAGTCACCACTTGGTCATTTTTCACTTCAGGATCAAGTTTGAAAATGTTAACGAAGTGTGGATTGCAGCGGTGACTAAGAATTCAGCACAACTGAACTTGAGCACAAATCAACTAGTTGACAATCTTTTGTATTGCTATCTCAGGGGCATGTCGTGCTCATAATGACACTTGGGAGGGAACAAAGAAATGCAGGAAAGCTTAGAAGATCAGTAAGAATTTGATGCAGCTGTATGTAGATATAGTAACATAAATATATATTAATATTTTTACACCTTCAGGAATTGTATATCAACATTCACCAGTAACTAATTTAAAAACATTTAGATTCTCTAGTGTGGGTAATTTTAGTGGCTGTATCATAAATAATGAGAAACTACTAAGTTGTGTGGTTATATTTTACTGTAAAAGACATTTTGTCTCCTTATTAGGATTTTGTTGTTATTGAACCTCAGAATTTAAATCAGTAGGTTGGGGACAACAATATGCACATATTCTATTAACTTTCTAATGTTTACCTGCATTTCTAAACTCAACCATTGCAGATATTTAGACATCTGCTTTTTTTCTCTCACTCTAAAGTTTATGAAGTAACTGTTGTGTGTGCATGTCTAAAGATTTTTTTTTTTTTAATTTTGCATACGGATACTGAATTTGTACAGCATTAACACTGAGGTTTTAATATTATCTGTGGGATGATCATCAGGGTCATACAGAGCCTCCTAGACTAGTACTAAAGTTACATAATAATGAGAAATTTTACAAAGGCTGTATCTTTTTTTTTGTGTTTAGAGACTCAAGTTGATTTTTGTCTTAAAATTATAATACAGTAGATATGAATCATAGTAAAGCAGTATACATTAAGTAATTCCTTATAAAACTATCCAATATGTCAATTGTGATACAGGAATGAAATTTTGCTTGCGTTTGATAAAGTTTCTAAATTGCTGAAGAGAAGAAAATAATTTCTCTTTTCTTAATGCTGTAAATTGCTGAGCAAGTTAGTTTTGAATAAGAAATACATATTTTTGTACTGTATTTTGATGCTGCTGTCTAGGAGGTTCTGATCGGGATGTAAGTATGAGAAAAAAGTGCAATATTGTATGGAAGAGGCTAACAAAGTCTGATAAACACCGGATATGTAGGGAATTAATTATATCAGATCAATAAATGTATTACAACTGAGAAGCAGAAGCAGCAGGTCAGTTCTGCTGTAATAGTGGTGAATATTATGATGGGAAGATTGTTAATTATAGTGCAGCATTTATGAGACATGTTGTAAAGGAGGATGGGGAGAACACATTAAGAGAGAGAATGTTACTGGACATCTTATAGGAGTGTTATCTGCCAAGAATTTTCAAAGGTATTTTGTGTAGACACAGTGGTATGAATACATTACGGTATGTGAAATTTTGTAGAAGTTTTTCTTTAGGAGTGTATGAAGAATGAGAAGAGGTATAGAGTAAGCAGGAGAAGAGGCAGGCTGTGTTCATAGAAATGATAAATTATTTTTACATGGATTATAAATTTTGTAAGAGCAGCAAACTCATAAGCAAGAATAAACTTGAATTGGTTTTGGGAAGTGCAACTCAGGTTTTCATGGGAATTGGATACTAGACCCAAACATTTTACTTTATCATAATAAAATTGCCTTGTTCGTGATATACAGTATAAGAAATTGGAAGAATATTTACTCATAAAATTTATGTAATTTCACATTGGATGTCCATAGTATAGAAGGTAAACAAAGCTTAAATTATGACTAAAAAATTTAAGATGTCACAATATTGTGTATTGGCTTCTGGTCTTCTCTCTCAGAAAGTTAGCTTTCTCATTTTAATATAATCCCATGATATGTAAATTTTTGTACACTGCATTGGCATCATCTTTAATTATATTATTTAGAAATAATAATTTACCCAAAACATACTACAGATGACATAGCACAGGGCTGCAATAGCTGTAATGCATAAATTGCTGAAGGGAGATAGGTCATAGGTGATGGATGGTAGATGACTATAGTTATTGAAAGTGAATGTTGATCATACCACTCATGAAATAGTTTTTAAAATTTTGTAAACAAAGTCCATCTGGATAAGATGAAGCTGGTTATGTTTAATACAAGTAAATGGAATCTGGAATGAAAAGAGGGACAATGTTATATAATATTGAAGATCTTTAAGTGTTATCTGCAACAAGGTTCATAATAAGTAGAGAAGGCAATAAAAGTTGGCCAAATATTTGGTGCTGTTGAAGAGACTGGTGAAAGAAGTGTCTGTGTTGAGGTTCTTGATAGATTAAACTACACTTATTGAATTTAAGTAAAATGAAGATGTATACAAATAGGTTGGTCACTACTGTATAATGTTAAGTCTTGGAGGTGGATTGTAAGAAGTGGATATGCAATTAGGAGAACAAATGAAATGAAGGAAGCGGAAATCAGAAGATACACTGTTATGAGAGGAGTGGCTGACAAAAGATAAAGACTTGAGTTAGTTGGAATGTGAGTAGAGTGAAGGAATGGTACATGGACCAAATGGAGGAGCACTTGTGTTTTATGTGTCTTGATGGAGCAATTTGTAGATATGTTTGGAGATAATGTTATATGAAGACTGTGCGAGTAATCATGATGTATAATAATAGAAGACTGCATTAAGGTATACAGGTAAATAGAAATTTATGTATGTAAGGTTTACCTTACAATAAAAAAAATTGCCCAAAATTTAAATTCTTAAAGATTTGACTTATAACATGAGTGAGATTGTGAGTTAGTCCAAGAGCCTTAAATTTTCTTAATGAAAAATAGTTATGTGTGCCCATGCGTTGTCTGATCAGTCTTAATACATATTTATACAGTATTTGCTGTAAGTGAAAAATATGTAGAATACACTTGTTGAAATGATCATTTACTTACATATACAGTACAATATACCAAATTCAACTAGCTATTATATTTGGTAGGAAGATGAGCAACAAATTGCATCAGAATTATTTAACTGTACAGTACTGATGCTTTCAAAATTCCATACTGATTCAGACTGTATGCTGCGGATATTGGGTGGTCCACTTCCCTGTGTGTACTGTTGTGCTCTCATGCCCTCAGTGTCAGACCTCTTGCAGAATGTTAACCCAAAAGTTTTTGATAATAGTTGAAAAAGATTTTGTTCATAGACAACTGAACTTTATGACAATGAATTTCCACCTCAGTAGGGTATATTTTTGCACTGTTGTTAATAATAAAGGTATTCAGTCAGGATCAGGTTTCACTAAACTGATACTCGTGTCTTTTGCAAAACTGGCTTTGAAGTGATCAGTATATTTTGATTCTGTTAGAGAACTGGTCAAAATAGTCATGAGATGGAATTGTGTAGCTTGGCACCCGCAAACTCATGTTAATAATGGAAGCTTTAAAAGGCCATGGATCAGATTAGTGAAACTGAATCCATGTAAAATAATCCATCACATTTTTTCTTAACCCAGTCTTGCTCTTACAAATATGTGTGTATATGCCAGCTTCATTTCGATACATTTTTTCTTAACACGTGTTATAAATATTGTACATAAAACTATTGTTTAATGGCATTGTCAAGATTAATTTATACACCAAGACCTTAAGTACCTGGGACATAACATTTTGAGGTTCATGCAGACAGTTGTTTATTGTGTAGTTTTCTCAGAAAGCATCATGTAAACATAATGGTATAAGCTGATGTCTAGGATAATCAGGATTCTGATTAACCCAGTTCTACATAGTTAAAAGCATCAGTGTCTGTATATCATTCAACTGCCCATTACATCTTCAAGAAAGTGCGGTTCTCCCGTGACATAAATTCACTTAGGTTGGGGATCAATTAGGTGTGATTCATCTAGAGGTTGTATATGTAGATTAATTAATATTTTCAAGATTTCCATGTCTTCTGTATGTTTACTGTTGGTTGGGCTGGTGTATCTATCAGAGCCTGACCAAGAGCTGCTTGATTTTGGCTTTTGTTTTTTCAGTGTTTGTAATGTGTATATATTATGTGACAAGGTCAAGACATATACTAGGAGATGTACTAAAAGTTAGTGGACACACATAGTCCTAATGTGGTCACTTTGTTGTGCCCGCTTGCCTCCAAACATTGTCATTGCACCTTCATATTTTGTACTTACTGAAAAGGTTAATTAAAAAGTGTCTTCACATTTGTGTCAGGGATCTGTATGAAGGAGGAACAGTGTGACTATGTATTATGATCCTGGTGGCACAATAATAGAGCTTTGACCACTAGACTTTAAAATTCTCCTGAATATGACTTGAATTGTTATCAGAGTGGAAGGGGGAGGTTTCCACTGTCATTGCAGTACAGCTTAAAGCCAGCTGATAATTTTCTCACAATTGGTCTGGTGATTGAGTACCATCTGTGTGCCATGCAGCCTTTAATGCATTTTCCTCAGTTGATTTATTGAAAAAAAGAAAAGAACATCTGATGTTGTGTAGTTCATTGCTGTCTGGCAAACTAGATCCCTGAAATATTCAGCTCAACTTATTAACTTTAGTGTCTAATGTCATAACATTATCAATACTTAAATATGACTGCTTTTAAGGATCACAGGATCACTTATGTTAAGAAATTATTTTTTTACTTAAATTTATTATTGTGGTTACTTGGCTATTAAGACATTTTTATCTCTGTTCTCTCATTGGGTCACCCAAAAACCTTGATGTAATTATTACATATTTTAATGTAATGTGTAAAAACACATGCCCAAAGTTGTTAGTTTAGTCATTGGTGGAGAGTTGGACATGCCTGCACTGTGGGAAAAAATTTTCTTTTAAGCAGTTTCTTATAAGGACTGATATGTGAGTGAACATCCAATTATTGTTTAAGGAAATGGAAGTGAATTTTTTGATGACATGATGGTGTAAGATCCTCATTATATTGTGAAAGCAATTATGCTTACAAAAATGATATCCAAAATTGTGAACTTAAAAAAGTTATGATGACCATTTAGGAAGCAACTATCTGTTATTAGGTTTGTGTTGAATTAAAAAGTTATTAGAATGATTTGACATAAGTTTTTAAATTTTGTTGTTGTTGTTAAATTGGTTGTTTTATAAACAAAAGAAAAGAAAAAAAATGAGCAAGAGCTTTTAAGTTCCTAATGGTTATAGAGCAAATTCTGTGATGGAGATATTGTAAATATATTTGTTTTGTGTCAAAACAATGATACATAGAGCTCTGTGTTTTCAATTTGCCTATTACAACAAATCCCTTGTTATGTATGCTGTCTGAGTTGATTCTGATGGAGGACATGAGTTAGTTTCCCAACAAAACATAATTGGTTGTCTGTGAGTTGCATTAATGAGTTAACAGCTGAACCCAACACTGAGTTGGCACATGTTTTTGTAAGCTGTTCAGGATGTCAACAGAGATTTTGCTTTGATGGATGAAAAAATCCACCACATATGTCCTAACTTTACCTTCCCTGTGGCTTAGTTTATCCAACCCTGTACTACAGTTTACCCTCCTGTATGGTAGTTCACTTACAGTGTCCTAGTTTACCCTCCTATGTCCTTATTCACCCCTTATGTCCTAGTTTACCCTCCACTGTAAGAACTTTGCTCAGCCTAAAAGAATTATACAGTAAGGAAAATATTAAAACCTTTAAAAAAAAGTCGACATACAGTTGCAAAACAACAATATTTAGTACGTATTGAATATATGCTTTTTGATTGTACAAAATAGACAAATATGCTACACCATAGAAATAAGAGCATATTATTAAAGTAACTCCCCAGGAAGCCCCAAATATCACAAAAGAGGCATATAAAGTTCAATACAGTAATATGTACTGAGGATATAATGCACCTTACAATGAGTCTCGATATGACGAGCTGGAAAAAATATGAAATTATGCATCAGAATACAGCATTCCCTTACAATTTGCGGATTTTTAATTCGCAGCCTTCGATTATTTGCAGGTGACACCCTGGATTTACCCAAGAATGTCTGCAGTTAGTTTTAAAGTTTGAGGCATTTTCACGACTGGAACGGGGAGCCCGCAAATTTTATGGCGTCCTGCAAGGTGTCTCTTTTGTCCTAGGTGGCTGGGATATGTACGCTCACTCCGCCTCGGTGACAGTCTGGGTTAAACACTTGTGCACGTGCTATTCTGCTTTCTTAACAACTGTGCTCCTTGTGCTTGTGATGGCTCCCAAACGCCCTTAACCACCTTCATCCAGCTGCAGGAAGATGCCCAAACAATTGAAGAGAGAAAAGAAGGGCATGTATTTCTCCCATGTGTATGCCTGGCAAGGGGAGTGAGTGACTGTTAGGTAGTGCGTTGTTTGCAGTTGTAACTCTCCTCACTCCCTGCCATATTTCACTGCATTTACTGTTATTATTAGTGTTTACTGATAGAGTAATGTTTAATAGTGATTAATCATGGCATTGTAGCTAGGTTAACTCATCATTGTAACAACCAGGCTACTGGGCCAAGCTGTGAGGTGTTATGCTTTTTTCAGCTCGTATTTTTGGGTAGATACTGTAGCAGTAAATTTCTTCATTTATTTTTACTCGGTTACGTGCATACACCATCCTAAATACACATTGTGAAAAAAGGTAAAAGAAATAATTGCCCTAAGGGCAAACACATAATGGGAGGAGAGCACAGAGTGTAGGTGGTGGGGAGCATTGCAAGGGAATCGGCGTCCTAGCTGATATTCTTCACTAAATGGCGACTGTTAAACTTTCATATGGCTTTTATATACTATTTTGGCAATAGTAATTTTTGTTGTAACGTATTTATTGGTATTTTTATTTATTCATTACATTTTCTGCTGCTGTATACAGTCAACCCTCACTTTATGCGGTTAATGTAACCCGCAGGGTCCCGCGGAAAGTGAGGAACGCGTTAAGTGAATAACATAACATATGGGATTAATTGAAATAGAGTCCGGGCCGACCCCCAAATTCCACTTTTTGACGACACACAACTTTGTTGTAGTAAAAATTTTATCTTAACTTTATGATGGTATGAAAAAACAAGTAATATAGAAGAGGTTAGGTTAGGAAAAATAAAGGTTAACATAGGAAAAATAAAGGTTAGGTTAGGAAAACTAAAAGTTATGTGGAACACTTACGTTAGTAGAAGAGATGGGTCGGCATACGGGGATGGAGGCTGGTTCCGAGGCAGAGGGCAGATTACTGGCCCTCAGGTGAATCACCATTACTAGGTGAATCACCATCACTGTCACTTACAGTTGTCAGGGCTTCCCTGACAAATCCCTCAAAGTCATCTTCACTGTCACTATCACTGGCTTGGGCTGGCTGTGGTGGGTTGCGGGCGAAGAAATCTGTTATGCTTTGCTGACGGCTGGTGTTGATGTTGTCGTGATACACCTTGATGTAGGGCTCTATAGTCTGCAACAGCTGGGTAGTGAAGATTTCATACCTGTTTGCGTCAGGGTCGTCGGAAAGGAGGAGCTTGGCTTTCTCGATACACTCGATGGCACCCCTAACATTACTATGGGATAAGTGTTGTTCTTCTTGGGATGACGCACCACCTGCCTCTTCACTGACGTCGTCATCATCATCATCTACCATCTCGTCGGTAGTCACATCAGGATCCCTTATCACCTCCAGGATGTCGTCGTTGGTGGTCTCGGAGAAGCCTGGAACTGTAACAGTCTGCACAGCTTCTCTGGCAAGGTCCACTGCTACTGCAACAGTCTGAACCTCACCAGTCACAGATTGACTCCTCCTCTCACCTGGTATTCCATGCAACACATGTCTCCATGCGTGACGAATTGTAGCAATAGACAGCTGATCCCATGACTCCACCAAGAAGTCCACAGCTTTCTTGATGTTAAATACTCTCCAGAATTGTTTGAACAGTATTTTTTGCTGTGCCAACTGTTGATCCTCATCTTCTTCGCTCTTGCTATCGGTGGTGGTGTTACTCAGGTTGCGCAACTCTTCCCTGGTATTGGTGTAGTCGTTCAGGAGTTTGAATTTTTTCGTAGAGAATGCAGCTTTTACATTACAGATTAACTCTTGGTCCATGGGCTGTAATATAGACGTAGTGTTGGGAGGAAGGAAGACCACTTTTACGTTGGGGTGACGATCTAACAGTAGGGGCGAGTGTCCTGGTGCGTTGTCCAGCAGCAACAAAATCTTGAATGGCACATTCTGTTGCTCACAGAATTTCTTTACATCGGGAACAAAACAGTCATCAAACCAGGAGAGGGACAGTGTAGAGAACATCCACGCCTTACGTGCGGTCAGCCAGTGGACATTTAGCTTGGTCATGTCCATGGTTTTGTAGGCGTGCGGCTTGCGTGCTGTGTGGATCACCGATAACTTGAGCTTACTGGTACCGGAGGCATTGGTGGTAAACAGGACGGTGATGCGTTCCTTCTGCATCTTCCGGCCCCGAATCTTGCTGGCATTCTTTACAACGAAGGACTTGGAAGGTAGCTTTTTCCAGAAAAGACCAGATTCGTCCATGTTAAACACCTGGTCGTCACTGTACTGTCCTTCCTCCATAATCTCACGTAAAAACGGAGGAAATTCCCTAGCCGCAGCACGGTCAGCACTCGCTTCTTCACCACCAATGTTTATATTGGTGATCTTGTTCCGGATCTTAAACCTCTGTAACCACCCAGAGGAAGCATTAAAGGGTTTGGGCTCTGTAGTTCCCATCTTTCGTGCCACTGCCATGTACAGTTCACGTGCGTAGTCCTTAACAGAGCGCGTGTCGACCGCCATGTTCCGTCGCGCCTGACGCACCAAGTACCTCACAAGTAATTTTTCTGTCTTGAGAAGCACCTGGTTGTGAAAATACTTGATCATAGAAGCACCTGTAGACTTTGTGATCTTCATGTGCTCCTTTATCTTGGCTGCATCCTTCTTTATTGTTCGAATCGTAGATTCATTCACACCATGCTGGCGCGCCAAATCAACCTGCCTTGTTCCTTTCTCCAACTCTTGGATGATGGTATACTTCACCTCGTAGCTTAAGGAACGTCGTGTCTTCTTTGGCTTAGTGCCGCTGGGTCCAGGTTAGGAAAGGTTTCTCTCTGGGGGTGGTGGTCCGGCGGAAGCCATTTTAGAGAACAATGGATGCACGTTTACACAGTCTGGCATGGAGGGATGAAACTGGCGCGACTAGGTCAAGGATCATCTTTCCTCCCTCCCTCCCTCCCTCCCCCCCCCGGGTGGACACGTCATAATACTTAAAGCCAATTACAGCTAGCAGCAGAGGGGGGTAGGGATGCATGGCCAATCAGTCCGATACGTCATATGACGTCAGTGATAACGCAACAAAGACACACACTGCGCAACCTTACCGCGCGGCTTGCCCAAGCGGAGGGAGGAGGAGGGAGAGGCGAGGAGCACAGGCAGGCAGGCGGGTGGGGCGAATCTAAAAATAGCATAGCGCCGGACACTCTCCGCGTAATGGGGTTCACGCACCGCGTAATGTGAGCACGTTAGGTTCTGGCAAGGCACCGCGTTAACATGGAAACGCGGACTGTGGGACCGCGTAAAGTGAGGGTTGACTGTATATTATTTTAAGAAAACTATGGCTGTGAGGTGTTTGGTGGTTTTTCAACTCGTATTTTTGGGCATGTATATGTAACTTTCTTCATTTATTTTTACTCGGTTACATGCACACACCATCCTACATACATACAGGTATGTGAAAAATGTACAGTATTGGATCACAATTACTGACATCCTTCATGTTGGGTTGGCTAGATGGCTACGAAAGAAACTAAGTTTGTTCTACATATCACATCAGCTGGCGCTCAGATGCCATTCATTCTAGAGACTAATTTTTACGAGGAAAAAACTACCGTATGGTAACCCAACCAACCCAACTTTAATAACAAAGCATGGAGTTGACTTGAAGGTAGACTCCTGCATTTTTTCTGCATTTTGATATGTTTTGTTGTCTTTTCTCTGATTATTTGTGTGAGGGTTTTCCCATTATTATTATTTTTGTATATCTGTGTGTGTGTGTGGCTACACACACACACAGATATACAGTACAGGTAAAAGAAATAATTATCCTAAGGGCAAACACATAAAGGGAATATACATTTCTTTGCACACGAGTAAAAATGTAACCCTTTCCCCTCTCCCGATCAACAAATGATATTCGCTGTTTTGGCAATTCGCAGCCATTTTGAGACCCAAACCACCACGAAATTTAAGGGCAAGCTGTATAGATG